AGTGCAAATGTCAGCTGCACTGGATACCGCCCCATTAGGATACAATGCTATTCATGTAGAACAACACTCGATAGCTAGTTAAACCAAACGGTATTCAGAGCCTCGAGGTCTTAGGATGATAAAATAGAGTCCAACTTCTCGTCAATATTGTTGCGGTCATCTTGGAAACTAACAAGGTCATTAATATTGTTCCGTCAAGAACCAAAGTAAATTTGAACTTTATTTGTCCTACCTTCCAGGCGCAATCAATAGAATTGCCCACAGCTCTAAAGCCATCCAAGACTTTCAGAAAATAAACAATGAATGTCTAACAATTTAGAATATCCTATAGAGAGAGAGAGATGTGGTTTAATGTCCTCTCGACACAAACTAGGTCATTTCGGGACTAACATATGGTTCAATTTATTTCAATAATTTGCTTGCGCGAAGGGGTCTTTAGCAGTAGGAGGAAACCAGAAGACTCAGAGAAAACTCACAAATTTGGACAGGCGACCCTACCCCTTATCACGTACAAACGGGAAATCAAAACCACGCCAACTGACGCTCACGAGCTAACCATTCAGCCATCCAACCCCCTTTTTCTGGTACAAGCCACCTCTCATTCCTCATGAAGTTTTTCTAATACTTGGATATACTAAATTACATTATAATAGTTACTTAAAAACAGAAAATATTTTTTACATTCGAGATAAAATGTAAATGATTTTGTTTGTTTTGCCTCTAGAGCAATCTTCTATTTTTTAGCAATCAAGAATACTATATTACCTAGTATAACCTTGCATTACATTTTTTTTATTCATCGTTCAATGTGAATTCTTTTCGTCTGAGTATTAGCAAGTTATTCATTATCCAACAAATTTACTCAAGAATGTGGAGCTTGTTTTATTAGGCCAAATCATATTAGTTTTCTGGAGAGTTGATACAACCGAGAAAATTCAACAGGATTTTCCAGCATTGTTTCCCATTGTCAGTGGTGCAGAATGGAGAACTTGATAAGGACAGTTGTCTAGTCGTTTAGATGAGACGAAAAACCGATGTCCTGTGTACACCTTGGCATTCACATAAAAGATTCCTTGGCAGTTGGAATTCGATTTAACACTAGGCCATAGCGCTGCTGTTCGGACAAAATTTCCCTTCATTAGTCCAGTCGGAGTAGAGCAATACAACATTAAACCCCATTTCATTTCATTTTTTAAACAAAAACTGACGCTCCCGTAAGCCTGGAAATAAGGCACCTGTCACAGACAATGACCGGCACAATCTTTCTGATGCCTGTCATTTTGTCTGAGACAGATTTGTCTTTGGCACAAAGTTCAAAATATCTGGGTCCGTATTCAAAGGAAAATTTAAGTCTTAAGTTAGTCACTTAACTACTAGATTTTACTTAAATATACGTACCTTCCTGTAAATTATGGGTAAGTTGTATTCAAATGCAAGGTTAAGTATCAAATTTTCCCTTAAAGTTAAGTTGCCATAACTTACCTTCAAAGTTAGAAATTCATGATTTTTGGCAATGGAAGTATCCATAAGTTAGAAATTCGCACTCTTTGGCATTTGCAGGCATTCCATAAGTTAATTGTGCAATTAATTTTTTCACATAGCCAAGGATATGTAAAATACAGCCTTTGAATACTGATTTAAGGAATCACACTTATATAAATGGAAAAATTAAGTATTTTCACTTAACTTTAATAAAACCTTTGAATACGAACCCCGGTATTGGTTATTCACAGTTTAAAAAATACATCTAAAATCATTATTTCCATGTCTTCACTCCAGGGTTTTGTTTTCAATTTGGAAGTAACAGTTTTGATCAGAGTAGAGCAAACAAGTAGGGTTTTTTTTTTCTCCAAAGAAATAGGTGTGAGAGAGACATATGGTTAAACGTCCACTCAACACAAACAAATTTCTATAATTAGTATTCGGAGGAAACTGGAGGACCCACAGGGTTGGGCTGACAACCCTACTTCTTGTAACATACAAGCTTTGGATGGAAATTAATGACACAGTGTCAGACCTTATGATCTAAAGCTCATGCATTAGACCACTCAACCATCAAAACAATTCCAATGCTCATTGGTAGAATAAGTATGGTAGAATTCATCACAGCCCCCCGTTCTCCCATCAAACAAATAGAAAGCCAAGTTTCAACAGGTGTTCCATAAAACAGAAATTCAAACTGGTTTGGCCTTAGTATGTAATGTTTCTTACTTTTGTTAACGTTATTTAAAACCATTACATCATTCCATGTACCAACGTCATTTTTGTACCAATAACCGCAAAATAAATCAAAATATTTTGGCAGGTAATAACAATTATAGGTGTGAAGATGTGTTAGATTAGTCAGAAAGTATGTGTACTTTTTGTGTTAGAGGAAAATAATGGATAACTTATAATAGACCTGCTTGAAAATATGTTGAGAAAGACAGAAAAATGAAATGAAATGGGGTTTAACGTCCTACTGTTCTGCTCCTAAACTGGGCTAATGAAGACGGGCATACGCCATACAGTGTGCTATGAGGGAAATTTTGCCCAGGCAGCGGCGCTACGGCCTACTCTTATATCGAATTTCAACTGCCATTTACGTGCACGCCAATATGTACACGGGACCTCGGGTATTTGTCCCATCCGAACGACTAGACAGCTGTCCTTGTCAGGCCCTCCGTCCTGCATCACTGACAAGGGGAAACCACGCCGGAAAATCTGGATGAACTTTCTCGGCCAATTGCAGGGAAAATTGAAATGCGGATTAACATCTTACTTTTCTGCAGCGACTGGGCTATTGGATAAGTACCTACACAATACAGTGAGCCATAAGGGAAATTTTGCCATAACAGCTGTGCGCTACGGCCTACTCTTATTTCAAATTCCAACTGTCAAAGGTTATTTTATGTGCAATAATCAACTAGGGGACAAAACAGGAGGACATGGAGAAAACCCACAAGATTCAGCAAGCTGACCCTACTCGCTGTCATGTGGAATTGAAACCACACCACATGACTCGATAAACCCTTCTTTGGGTGTGCAGAGAACACGTGCCTGGGAAATTAGATTCATTATATTTTATCATTAACCAAAATTGTGTGATATGCATTTATTTCAGATTGGCAATTTAATCAAGCCAAGGTAAATTCTTTTGATGGGCCTCTATTTAATTTGATTGATCGAAGTTGAGAGATTACCGGGTATCTACTGTTGATATTTTTTTTTCATAAATAAATGTCAAATAATCCATTTGATTGTGTGCTGACCTAAGCCCTTTAATATGTCAACATTGTTGTACGCTGACCTAACCTCTTTATTAAATCAAAACAATTGTGTGATTACAATTGTGTGCGGACCTAAATTCCTTAAAAAATCACCAGAATTGTGCACTGAGTAAGCTCCTTAATAAATCAACATAATTCTGGACTAATCTAAGCTCCTTCAGAAATGAACATGATTGTGTCCTGAACTAAGCCCTTTAATAGTTTAACATGATTGTGTGGTGAATTAAGTCCTTTAATAAGTTAACATGATTGTGTGCTAAACTAAGCCCTTTAATAAGTCAACATGATTGTGTGCTGAACTAAGCCCTTTAATAAGTTAACATGATTGTGTGCTGAATAGGTTAACATGATTGTGTGCTGAACTAAGGTCCTCAAATAAATCAGCATGATTGTGTGCTGAACTAAGGTCATCAAATAAATCAACATGATTGTGTACTGAGCTAAGCTCCTTAATAATTGAGCAACAATTGTGTGCTGATCTAATCTCCTTAATGAATAAACATGTTTGTGTGCTGAACTGAGCTAATTTTGTAAATAAACCAACATGAATGTGTGCTGGGATAGTTCATCAATATTAATCTATCTATGACACTGATCTTTTGCTGTGGTAATTAAGAAGTTCTGCCAATTTGTGTGATGAGATCTTTTCATTTCTCATTATCTCTGGTTACTGTGTGCCTTATAATTATGGTAATTTCTCGACGCTGCTTAATTAGTAAAATTAATTTAATGACAATCTGATTTATGTCTGTACTGTGGTTGCAAGGCAAACAATTACCGGAGGTTTGTATGAGAACTTGTCATTTATGGTTGTATGGTGATATGCCATTGCTTTTATTCTGGATCATCATGTTGGTTGTGTGGTGTCCCATCAAGTATGGTTGTGTGGTGTCCCATCATGTATGGTTGTGTGGTGCCCCCTCATGTTGGTTATGTGGTGTCCCAACAGGTACGGTTGTGCAGTAATTTATCATGTATGGTTGTGTGGTGTCTCATCATGTATGGTTGTATGGTGATATGCCATTGCTTTTATTCTGGATCATCATGTTGGTTGTGTGGTGTCCCATCAGGTATGGTTGTGTGATGTCCCATCATGTATGGTTGTGTGGTGTCCCATCATGTTGGTTGTGTGGTGTCCCATCATGTTGATTGTGTGATGTCCCATCATGTATGGTTGTGTGGTGTCCCATCATGTTAGTTGTGTGGTGTCCCATCAGGTATAGTTGTGTGATGTCCCATCAGGTATGGCTGTATGCTGACTCAGTCTTTTGTGACCGGATTGTGACCTGTCATGCTGACCTTGTGAGTTGTGATTGTATGGAGACCTGTCATGTATGGTTGTATGATGACACCATATATGGAAGGAAGGCGACCTATGGTTGTATGGCAACATGGCAACTTGCCTTTATTGGTTTTAGAGAGACCTGCCATGTATGATTATGTCGTGTATGCCGTTCTAGGGAGACCTGCCATGTATGATTACGTCATGCATATACCATGCTTGGTAACGTGGTGACCTGCCATGCGTGGTTATGTCTTGTGAAGAAGCAAGGTGACCTGTGTCGTGTCGTTCCATGGGGGTGTGCAGCACATAGTTGACTTGTGAGCTTCTATGCAGGGACATCATGTAATGATCTTGATCATGTATGTACTTTATATTAATTGTTGCGATATTCATTAAGATACTACTTATAATTGCAATGATATTTACTAATACAAATAACCACTTACCTTTCTTTGCTGTTTGTCACGTTGGTTAAGTTGATGTAATTATTACGAACACTGCGTAATGATGCTAAAATCTGGGCAAACGGGGTCACTATCATATCCTCCGCATGTCTGGAAGTAAAAATCACAGATTGACGTCTTTTAGCTTTATCTTTAGTTTTATCTTTTGTTTTATCGGCTGATGAGCCTTTCGCCATGTTAACTTTCCCATTACGTCGGAAGTTTGGCGTAAGGAATTGCAATTTCTGCATCATTTTGACAGCTATCTTACTGAAATATTCACTGCTGAAAAAAATAAAAACCAGCGGCAACACGTCCCAAGATCTTGTAATTAGCCTATGCAGTAAAAATAAAGTTGTGTTTAATATAATATCACTGGTCTTATCACAATATTTCTATAGGCCTAATTTCGGTCTCAACCTTTTGGGAGAGACAAAGAGAGTTCTAAGTCATAGCACGATTTCCCCCAATTTTCACACCACGAGGGAAAAATATTCTTCAATCTTGACAAGTGAAAGAAGTCTGATATACCAATTATGTTTCCAGATTAGGACAATTTTAGTTGTTTCCGAGGTTTGTCCCTGGTGTTTACAATGAACTCCCAAAATCAATAACTCATAACACAAGAAATTTCACCCAAGATCTTATTGAAATTATATCAAAAACCAATAAAACACACATATGTTGCCTAAAAATATACACTTCCAATATCAGACGCAGAATACATACAAATTGAAAAAACTCATTCACAATAAAAATACATTATTGACACAGCACGTGATAATTTATAACACCGTCCAAAAAAATTCCTTTTAACAAATTTTAACAATTTTCTACCCTGTATTCAAATTGTTTGTCAAGCAGTAATGGGTCAATTCACTTCAACATATATCACAATGACACTGAAGTCAAAATACCAACAATAATATTGTAATTCTGCCGTCTGCCTCAATCTCAAAAAATCATAAAAGATATTGAAAAAAATAACGTCACACAAATTAATGTATGTTAAGAACTTGTTCGACGAGTATTGAAGCTTGGAATTGTGAAACGTTAAACCATATCACAATTTATACATCACTGGCCACGTAAACTCATTTCAGAAATATTGACCTCCGTGAAAAATCCGAAATTTGGGATATGTAGATACGATAAATTGATATATATACGCCGGTATGATGGACATATCATTTATCATGTCTGAAACCACAATCATTGATTCCAAATAAATTATCCACTAACTCGCCGAGAATCGACATTCTAGAGATGAAAATAAAACTTGAGATATAAACCATTAATTGACGAATAGATTTCCGATCGCATTTAAATCGTAAATCTGTTTACTTTTTTTAATATTTCCCAAACTGGCATGTTGCACAAATTAGCAGCCATGGTGATCCATCTTCATTCCATTTTGACAAAAAATGAAAAAATCCTGATTAAAGCTGATATGATTGACGTCATTCTCAGAAACATCAAGAAGGGAGATGAAATAAGACCAGATCGATTTTAAAATCAAATCTTAAAAATCTCGAAGAAGTCGTTGATGTAAACACCACTGAACAAGGTTTACTCTAAGATATACAAATGTAGTAAACACTAGCACAGAGGCACATATATTCTATGAATTATCTGGTAACTTCTGTTTGTCTGTAGCACAACATTAAGAATAATGTCTTATACAGATAAAGAGAGAAAGGGCTATTCCATTTACATCATGTATTATAACTACTACATCCTATGACTAACACGAAAGTAGTCATGGCTGAAGAAGAACCAACACAGAACACACAAAACGTTGGTAAGGTTTCTCCTTGCGATTTTCTCTCTCTGTGGTATTATTACTATATAGTCTCTCTACAACATGACTGAAGCATTAAGCCACTCAGAGATCCACTCTTTTCAAGTCTCAGTCGTGAGTCTCAGTAAGATTCTCTTGGACTGTTTTTCCCTAGCAAAAGCTGATCAATACCTAATATGCTATAGCCAACACTTGTTGAAGACTTGAATCTGCTTGCTATATACAGACGTCTACACAACGGTACAGATAAATGACAACTCGACTATCGTTAATACTTGATGTTAAACAACCTTTTATTACAGTCTCGCTATAGCTTATTATGTTTACAATATTTCAAATTCATATATATATATATATATATATATATATTGACGTTCTATTAGCCATTGTGTCTTAATCTTTTCTTAACTGTAAATCTCACAAGAAAAAAAATTGTTCTCGACTGATGAACAAACTGAATTTATTTGACATGCTTTCTATTGCTCATCATGTTTACAATATTTCAAATTCATATATAGCCATTGTGTCTTAATCTTTTCTTAACTGTAAATCTCACAAGAAAAAAATAGTTCTCGATTGATGAACAAACTGAATTTATTTGATATGCTTTCTATTACAATATTTCAAATTCCTTTATATATATATTTTGATGTTATATTAGCCATTGTGTCTAAATCTTTTCTTGACTGGCGGACAAAAAACAAACTTCATTTATACGACAGGCTTGCTTGGTCAAATGTATTAGCATTGTGACTTTACCACATGGTGGAGGACAGGTGACCCTACTCCTTGTCACGTACAACCAGGGAATCGAAACCCCGCAAGGTGACTCAATGACAGACCCTAAGAAAACCCACGAGGTGTGACAGGCCACCCCAGGGATCTTGTTTGGCAGTGGGAGGAAACCAGAGGATGGAAGATATACATGAGGCAAGGTATACCATTTCACATCTATTTTTGATGCGCTTTTATAATATTAATTAGATTATCATGTTTCCTTGTTTTGTTTCCTTGACGATTTTCTTTGAACAGCACCTAATTCTATTCTCAGACGCAAATTCTAACAATAACTTGAGATGATGAAATTGCAATTAAAAATACAGCCATAAATATGTTGATCAATACGTCTACTCAAATATTAACATAAATCGGGACAAGTTTAGACACCAGTAAACAACAATTTCAGAGAGAGAGAGAGAGATTAAGGTCCACTTTAGACAAACTAGGTCTTTTTCACACTAACATATGATTAAATTTAATTTCAATAATTCGCTTGCTCGAAGGGGTCTTTAACAGTGGGAGGAAGCTGGAGGACCTGGAGAAAACCTATAAGGTTGGACAGGTGACTATACAAGATGGGAAACGCTGGCCTAACCATGCCACTTGACTCAATGACAGACCATATGGTCAAAAGCACACATTAAACCATTTGTGCGCCCCCCCCCCCCCGATTTCAGATAACTGTTCAAAATCTATTATGTATCGTTCAAACTCGAGCAAATGAAATGGGGTTTAACTGTCCAAAATATATTATCTATAATACTAACTCAAGCAAATGAAAGGAGGGGTTTAATGTAAACACAATACTTTGGTCATTTTGAGACTAACAAGAAGGTGAATTTTTCCCTGACATTGACCTTTTCCACCTACTCTTCATTGATTTCAAACTGCCAAGGGTTCTTTTATGTACAAAGGTGGTCGCAATTTTTCATCCCATCCAAACGACTAGATAACACTGAGCTTAGAAAATCCTGAGACTCTTCTGGGATTCCAACCCTGTACATTCTAGTCATGAGTCTAGTACCCTTAACATTGTCATTAAATAACAATTACCACAAAATCCATATCGCTACTATCTTTAAATATCTAACCAACATTCCTTTAAATATTAAACAATTACCCTGACAATCGTAGGAAAATTTGGTGCTCATGGCACATATCCATATCACTGTCATCTTTATATATATTTTTACAAGGACAGCTGTCCAGTCTTTGGATGGGATGAAAAACCGAGGTCCCGTGTACATATTGACGTGCACGTAAAATATACTTTGGCAGTTGGAATTCGATATAAGAGTAGGCAGTAGTGCCACAGTCCGGGCAAAATTTACCTCATAGCACACTATATGGCATATGCCCGTCTTCATTAGCCCAGCCGGAGCAGAACAGTAGGATGTTAAACCCCATTCTATTTCATTAAACTTCATTTCTTTATACATTAACCCAACAGTCCTTTAAAATATCAAACAATTAAAATGAAATTTGGTAGTAAAATATTTATTTATAATCAAATTAAAACCATATAGCTAACAATTACCAAGGAATATGATAGGAAAATATTTATTGATAGTCATTGTGTACATCCATATCGCTACCATCTTTAAATATTAACCCAAAAGTTCTTGAATGGTTATTGTGTGCGTGTTGCATCATAAGGTCTATCATTGAGTTAACTGGCGTGGTTTCGATTCTCCGGTTGTATGTGACAAGGAGTGGGGTCGCCGGTTGCCTCCCACTACTAAAGACCCCTACATGCAGTGAATTATTGAAAAAAAATTGAACCATATGTTAGTCTCGAAATGACCTAGTTTGTGTCAAGTGGATGTTAAACCCCATTTCTCTCTCTCTTTAACCAAAAGCTCTTTAAATGATCCAACCTCTTGGGTTTTCTCTGGGTCCTCCGGTTTCCTCCCACTGCTAAAGACCCCTATGCGCAAGCGAATTATTGAAATACAATTGAACCATGTGTTAGTCCCGAAATGACCTAGTTTGTGTCGAGTGGATGTTAAACCCCATTTCTCTCTCTCTTCAAATGATCCAATAATCACCAAAGAATTTCGTGGGAAATATCTACTATGAAATAACCAGGAAGGAATTTGGTAAGAAATTTTTACTAGTAGTCAACTTGCATTTATTAAAGACAGACGTAATTACTTAAAGTCAAGCAGAAACAGAAATAAAGAACTAAATATAGACTGGACTACTAAAGAAAATTCTGGCAGCCTAAGAAGATTAGACCTGAAGGCTTCGTCTAATAAAGTATTCAATGGAAGCTTAGACCGCATGAAAATAATTTAGCTCTCATAATTCCTGTTATCGACAACACTGAAGTAACAAACCGAATATATCTCCGTTTAATTGGAAATAAATGTGAAAAGGAATCAATGCCTCATCCACCCTGAAACCATGAGAGGAAATGTTGGGATTGGTGGGTGATAAACCCGATGTCAATCACCACTACAAACAATCGAATCGACTCGATCTCCACCTACCCCCCACTCCCCAACAACAATACACAATCGACTATCTCCTCACCTACCCTCCACTATTATATATACACTCTACCTCACCCCCACACAATCAACTGTTAAACCTGATGTCAATCACCACTATAAACAATCGACTCGATCTCCACCTACCCCCCACCCCTCCAACTCCCCAACAACAATACACAATCGACGATCTCCTCACCTACCCTCCACTATTATATATACACTCTACCTCACCCCCACACAATCAACTGTTAAACCTGATGTCAATCACCACTACAAACAATCGAATCGACTCGATCTCCACCTACCCCCCACTCCCCAACAACAATACACAATCGACGATCTCCTCACCTACCCTCCACCTTACCCCCACACAATCAACTATCTCCTTACGTACACACCAATTGCTAAACAAGACCTCGTTTTTTTGTCCCATCCAAACGACTAAACATTGTCCCATGCCTGGATACACTGGATCTCGTTTTTTTTTATCCCATCCAAACGATTAAACATTGTCCCATGCCTGGGTATACAGGACCTCATTTTTTGTCACATCCAAACGACTAAACATTATCCCTTGCCTAGCCCTCTGTCCTGCATCACTGACAAAGGGGAACCATTCCAGGAAATCCTGATAAACTTTCTCAGCCAACATGAGGGTCGAACACATGGCAAGGATTGTCAGCCTCTATTAGTCTGAAATTCGCAAGAAATTCTATTTGTCTCGGAATAACAAACTATAGAGAGCAATTGGGCTAAACATCCACTCGATACAAACTAGGTAATTTCGGGACTAACAAATGGTTCAATTTTATTTAAATAATTTGAAATATTGATTTATAATTAAAGATAACGCTAAAAATTGTCGTATTCTTTTAAAAAGATGTCTTGATAAACAAAATATATGGGAAATTGACTGGCTGGACAGTTTGTCTCTTTGACTTTTCCCTTTTTTAAGTCATTTTAAATAAATGCAAGTTTTAATATATACAATAAAATGGGAAATGTGTAAAAGATTTTCCTGGCAGCCAAAACCAAATGCTTTCCTAAAGAATGGGCCGATTCTCTTTCCCACAAAAACAAAAAAAAAATACTTGTTTTTAATAACATAAAGTGATCATTGATTATCATAAGTCGTGACATTTTCTGCGTAGGAAAATTCTCAATTAGATAATATAGGTCAATAATGTACCTAACCAAATAGTCGACAATAGATTTTCACCTTTTGTATGTACGCAAGATTAAGGAAGAGCTCTTAGTATTTATTATTGATTGGAAGGGGTGTTATTGAACGTGTTTCGCGCTTGACTGCATCCCGTAGATTAAATGTTGATTAGATCATGTATTTATCTATTGACTGAATTGTATACATATATATTAATATATGTATTTATTCGTTTTCCATTCTATTGGTCAATAATCTATAAATCCCTAACAGAATCTCTTTCAATTGGGTCAGAAATTAAAGTTCTGGTTTGATCAAATTTTATGCACTAGTTTCGTAAGATGAAAATCTGCTTTCATTATAACAGGCACGATAGTACAATATGGACCAGGAAACAAGCGCAACGACATTGCAGCCATCTTGGAATTATGGCGTCTTTTCAAAAATCACAGTCTGTTAATTGATGCACAATTGTCCAAAGAACTGCAAGCATGCCAAGTTTCATGTCATTCATACTTGATTTGGTAAAGCCGTGGGTTTTTTTTTTCAGAACAAGAACAACAAGATAAGTAGCGTGGTCATCTAGAAACTTATTGAATCTTACAAAGCTCCACATATTTCAAATATGGAGTTTGAAAACTCTAATTCTTAAATTGGTAGGCTATTCAAATAACACTTGTTTACAGTGAGTGACATTCTTTAAGAATTCTGGAAACACAGAGCTTAAAGATACATTATGGGAGATTAGATAAAGAGCTGGTAGTTCTCACTATAATAGTTAAAAACTAGATGATGTAAATGGATTATGCTGAAAATTTCTGTCAAATTGCTTCATTCTAAGTCGAGAAAACCTTATTTTAAAATCTCTGTAGCCTCGATAGTCATTCTTACGATAATTAACAAAGTCTTGATAATCCATTTATGTGTTTAATCATGAACAGTAGTTGAACGGCAGATCAGATTCAAATCCAATGAAAATCGGACAGTCCCACCCTTTTTAACATATCAACAAAAAAATCAATTTTCTATCATTTCTATAAGTACAAGAATGTTTTGATCAAATTATTATTAACAAACTTAAAGAAGTATTTCATAAACACAAAATATTATTCTTAGTCAAAAGTAAAATGCCATTACTATTATTATCAATTCAAGGGAAACAACTCCATTTACTGGAAATGAAACTGATCTGCTCTTGATCTATAACTTACTACTCTATGAGTAGTCACTCAGCGTTATTTGCATTTTTTGGACAATATTTAGTTTTTCACAACTTAACCACATTAAAATATACTCAAACTGATTATTTAACATTTAATTAAGAAGCATAAAATAAAAATATTATTGTTAGATAATTTGTACTTGAAAACGATAAGAGAATACTTGTCGAAACGTCATCCTATATGTGTATCTAGAGAGAGAAATGGGGTATAACGTCCACTCGACATAAACTATGTCATTTCAGGACTAACATATGGTTCAATCTTATTTCAATAATTTGCATGCGCGTAGAGGTCTTTAGCAGTGGGAGGAAACTGGAGGACCCGGGGAAAACCCATGAGGTTCAACAGGCGACCCTACTCCCTTCTATGTGTATAAACCAGTTAATGTTTTCCATATAAATTGTGTTGTGTTTTTTAGTATCAACATTAACATATAACATATATAAAATAATTTTGTCTTATAAATAAAGAAAAAAAGTCAGTTATTCATAATCAAAAATATATGTTATTGAAACTGAATCACCTGAAAAAAAAATGTAATATTCAAAAGTCTTCATAATATTGAAGACTCCAAACGTAATCTGAAAAGCAATGCAGTGATTTAATTAGATTGTCCATTATGGAAATTTTCTCATTTAAAGTCTTTGTGCACGAATTTTATTCTTTTTCCTCTGCATAATTCAAGCTGAAATGTATTCACATTGATTATTTATGATTTAATTAAGAAAACATAATCAAAATATCAGAGCTTGATAAATAATCTCCCGACATAGGTTCTATCAGATCAAAAGAGGCCCATCAAAAGATTTTAGCGAATCTTAGAGGTTCGATTTCTGCTCCCCTAGGTCCAGTCTATGAAAAAAGGGCAGAAAAGAGAGAGAGAAATGGGGTTTAACATCCACACGACACAAACTAGGTCATTTCGGGACTAACATGGTTTAATTTTATTTCAATAATTTGTTATCGTGTAGGGGTCTTTAGCAGTTGGAGAAAACCGGAAGACCTGGAGAAAACCCACAAGGTTAGACAGTCGACCCTACTCCTTGTCACAGACAACCGGGGAATTGAAACCAATGACAGACCTTATGATACAACGCACATGCACCAGCCATTCGGCCATCCACCCCTCGGCCATCCATCCCCCAGCAAAGGACAGAAACTGACCAAATAAGTATAGTACAGTACGATGAGATAACTTGTATTTCTGTAGACTGCAGGCCAGACTAATGTCATGGTTGTAGAACATATATAGGACCACATGACGAAGAAATGATGAACAGAGTGATGACTGGGTGATTGTTATAATCTTGTCTATCATCAAAGAAAGAAAAAAATGGAATGGATTTTAACGTCTCAATACGTGATTTTACATAACCAGCACATATAGTATGTAAATATCTCCCTGACTCGGTAAATAATCAAATATTGTCTCGTGAATATTTTGGAAAAGTCGTTTTGAAACTGACATACGGTAATTTATAGTACCATGCAAAGTTGGCAGCCTGGACTCTCGACGGTTGCGTTTCAGCTGACTTTTCGTCGATTTCCAACTGTGATGGATTCTTTTACATCCACAGAGGTCCTAGAGAAAACCTATGAGGCAACTCAACTCCTTGTCATGTACAAGCTTGGAATCAAAACTGGAGAGAGAGAGAGAGAGAGAGAGAGAGAGAGAGAGAGAGAGAGAAATGGGGTTTAACATCCATTCGACACAAACTAGGTCATTTCGGGACTAACACATGGTTTGAATTTTATTTCAATAATTCACTTGCGCATAGGGGTATTTAGCAGTGGGAGGAAACCGGAGGACCCGGAGAAAACCCACGAGGTTGGACAGGCGACCCTACTCCTTGTCACGTACAACAAAGGAAATCGAAACCATGCCAGTCGACTCAATGACAGACTTTATGATACAGCGTGCGCACGCTAACCATTCAGCCATCCAACCCCCCGAAATCAAAACTGGTCTCAATGACAGACCTTATGATCTAAAGGGCATAAGAGCACCAATCGGCCAGTCACCTCCCATATTGATAGGAAGGATTTGAGAGAGACCATGCAGTTGATCACCACAATACATTTAAAACAAAATACAAAAAATGAAATAAATCTCACCTTGTCCAAAATGAATATCGCTGTCGAGGAATGCGAAGAGCACTGGTGCTCATCACACGATGGATCGCAGGATCGCTAAATGTAGCAGTCATCATTTCAAATTTTTTTTTTTATTCTATTACAACAAAATTAAAAAAAAAATTTTTTTAAAAAGTTCTATTTAAAGGTAATTGTACTGTCATAAAGCAAAACAAACTTCTATCTTATCACCCGAAAATAATCGTCACAATCGCTTAATGTAAATTCATGCGATTGTCGATATTCTGTGTGGCAGGAGATATGAACCTAATTCCAATAAATTGAACACAGATTTCCAACTTCACCAAATGATTAAGCGGAGTCTATTATATCTTCTGCTCGGATTTGCCAATACTTTGGAGACTAATCTCACTTTGCAGCAACCTCAGGTTATTCTATAAACAGTTTAGCGTGTCTAGTGCCGAGAGAGATATATTTTTTTTTTTACATTAAGTGAAGTCATTAACAACAGGAATATTATCACGTTATTATTTCCTTTGCTTTGCTTGAGGAGATTTTACACGTTTCGTAATCTGACGGTTTCTACGAAGCTGCACTAACTTATTATCAAACTAATGTTGAGAATCGTACAGTTCAATCCCTTGAGGGAGCATTCCTCGGAAAAATGCCGACAGATCAAAAACAATCAAGAAGTCAATCTTCTTCTACTTCTGGCTGCAGAGAAATAGAAATCGGGGGAAATAGAATTGCTGATGTGAAAACATAAAATAATTGTTTCAGATAAAATTAAAATTGAAAACACAGTTTCCAAAATTAATAAGTTATTCAAGAACACTAGTGAAATGATTTTCAGATGTCCTAAAGGAAACGCACTTTTCTGCACAAACAATTTTTTCGTCCAGCTTTTAATTTTCAAATGTCACACATCCATGAAATCAATATTCTCCTTTCTAAATAGTTTTTTTTAACAAAATAGTATTGCAGAAATAGTATTTAGTTATTGATTTCTTCGTTGCTTGATTCGAAATTTAATCTCTACTTAATGAAAATAAATAAATGACAGAATTCGTATTATTGTCCGTTTACACAATGGACGAATTTTTCATTTAAAACACGTTTACACTTCTACGATAGTCCAATGAACTTGATTAACTCCAAGCCGGAAAATTACAAAATATCCTTTGAAATATTTGTTAATTATTCTCGATTGGCATATCAGACTTTTCACATCAATCATAAAGGATTCACAATCGATTCCAAAAATTATTGAACATTTATTTTTGTCTTCATCAGTCTAAATCTGTTTGTTATTCGGTCCTCTGTGAACTCTCGTTAATTTTTCTTTTTTCGATCTGGAGACTTAGTTGAACGATATTGATATATACTACGTCAATGAGCAAGGAGAAAATTTGATCTTAGTGGCCTCGACTATGGATTCTTTTTTTCGCCCAGCGTTGTTTCGTATTGATCATTTAGACACCGGTACTCGAGTAGATCACATTAATAGTAATTATTGAGAGTTTGCTTACTTTGTATTATAAGTTAATTACAGGTAACAAAGGACACCTGCACGATTTGTATATCACCAGCCAAACACCTGGACAGGTCTCATTAACTTATTGATTGGAAAAATTCACCCCGAAGGACAATCAGAGCAGCAGTAGATCTCAGATTACAAGTCGTTTCTTTTGGTAGTGGTACCTACACATGTAGTTAGATTAAACGAAGCAATTTTACAATTTATGTCTGATGAAAATCAATTCTTTTATTCTCTTGCTTCAATAGATATGTAGTGTGGAATTAGAATTCAGGTAAAAACTACCAAAATTGAAAACATATTAATTGTCTCATAGAAATTTGTCAAAATCGGAATCTATCTGGAAAGTTGACAAAAGTAGTTTAATTTTTGAAAAGCACTAAAATGGATACTGTGTCCTGGCCATAGTCAAAAAAAATCAGTAAGGTGCCTGTCCGATTTTCTCTAGCGGGAGTTGTACCACTAATTTTTAGAATTTAATGATGTAGAACTGAATTAAATATGTTCAATAAAAGCTAGAATATTTTAAATGTAAAATCTAAAAAAGACTCCACTGAGACTTGGTTTAATCCTTCTCTGCAAATCCCACCAAATAATCCAATGTTGTGTCAAGATTGAATTAGTAACTTTCCAGCAAATTAACACAAAATCTACCAAAGCAGAAATGAACAATTTGCTTCTAACAGCGGGTGTTTATGAAAACCTAACTCCAATTAAATTTGACAGCAATATATTTTTTGGATCATTACTTGTGTTCACTCAAATGTTTATAATTGGTTTCTTTGAATCACTTGCAACCACATAAATTGTTTATGTCTTTTTCACATTCGAAAAATTATAACAGCACTCTTATACAGGTCACACCAAATCTTTTTATATTCTATTTTCTGTCGATGAATAAAATTCTCCAATATGGCCCGTCAAACGAATTTTTAATCAATTTTACAAACAGACTGTCTAGATGTTTAAAATCGCACAGATGACATACAGCAAACAATTTGTTTTTGAAAAAAATAATGCTCTTGCAGAATTTATACTCATTTATTTTATCCAATTATTTAAACGGGCGAGCTTTTGCATTTAAAAGCTCACATATGTGATCCAGGTAGCAATGTGTTTTTCAAACATACAATGCCCTTGAAGATTTTCTACTCATTTGTTTTTGTCCAATCATAGATCTTGGTTTAGATCCTTAAAAGGATACTAATATTTCCCCAGAAGTCTCTGGTTCCTAATAGCAACCTCTTGCTTCTTGTGACATTAGAATGTAATCTTGATCCTGATATAGATGACTTAAACTCTTTCTTTTATGATTGATTTGAAAGAGAAACTTAGTCTTTTGTAGTCGTTTATCCGTTAGTGGACTTCCTTTTAATGAAAATGGCTTTTCTTACATATAATTAGTACTAAGCTTTCAGGTCCACTATGACAATAATTCAACTGAATCCCTGAGTCTTATTTATTTACGTTTAGTTTAGCTTCTGAACTGTACATCTGAAACTACTTTTGAAATTATTGAGGTCTCTCAATCTATTTTATTTCCAAATAACTTCTGCACAGCACTCTCCACAGCTAACTTTTGAAATTGAGTTTTTTTAATCTTTATTATTACCACGGAACTCCAGCACAGCACTTTACACTGCCAAGATTCAAAATCATCTAAGTTCCAGAATCTTATTTATTGCCACAGCATAAGTCTTCCTGCTGTTAACATTTGAAATTATTTTTCAAACGACTAGTCAATCCAGTGTCCTCATATAGTTGAACACTCCCTCTGTAGGCTACATTCAAACCTGTGGCATTCCACCTATAAATATTCGATCTAGCAAATGGAACCACCTTGACGCGCCGACTGCTTATTAACAAATAGAAAGGTTATTAACACAACAGGATTAATTACCACTGTCAACAACCACTTAGCGACTACCTAGAAACCCAGCTGATAAGGCCACAACAACTTGTCCTGCACAAATATGGAATCCTGAAGATGTAAAACTATTGTGTCATCCCTGTGAAAATTCTTTTGTTTATCTTGAGTCTCAAAGAGGTACCGGTAGTAGAGCTGTTCTTGTGTCCATGGAACCCAAATCAGAAAACGAAACCAATAGTTTTTCCTGAAAAATAAGAAAATATACGATGTTAAGTTCATTATGTAATCGTGACAGATATGGTAGTGTAATAAGCAAGTTTACACAGGGACGATCATAAAGGCCTGGTAATGAATCGATCGTATCAGGTTAATGCTATTGAATCAACTTCAGTCATGTTTAAAAGGTCTGCCTAGATATTATCAACTTTCAGTCCGACTCGCAAATGAAATTAAATGGATGAAATGTTATCGTGGAATTTTCTAAAAGGTTACTTTTATTCCAATATAAACGAAATGTGCTATTATTCAGTTTTTATGTCATAAATGCGTATGATTTCCCCGAAGAACGAGGCTTTTCAATTCCAGAGAATTGTATTTCCAACTGTTTCTTTCTAATAACACAAACGATAACATTACTTCAAAATGATTTAACTTGGATTTTCTGGTTTTAGCAATAAAGATTTTTTTATTTTTTTTCCAAATAGAGCACATAAATATTCAATAAAAGGAATTTAGCCATACTGATTTTTTTGTCCAAATAGGGGCGATAAACTTCCAATAAAAGTAATTTCATACAGATTTTATTTTTCCAAATAGGGCCTATAAACTTTCCATGAAAAGTAGTCATATTGATCCGAATGTAATAGTTAACCTGACGTGACATTTCTGATTCAACTATTTATAGCTTACAGACTTTTATTATATGGTAAAATCAGACATCTGAGAAAATCAACATCCTGTAAAAATGGATAAACTTTTTTTTATTTTCCAGTCACAAGTCACTCACCCATTTTATTTTATAACTCAATTATTCAGTAGTTCACCTAAATTATTTGAGGGATCATCTAAATTATTCAGTGCTTCACCCTAATCAATCAGGGGCGTACTCAAATTATTGAAATGGAGTTTAACGTCCTACTGTTCTGCTTTGACTAGGCTAATGAAGATGGGCATACACCACACAGTGTCCTATGTCCTGCACCACTGACAAGAAGAAATCACGTCTGAAAATACTGATGAACATTCTTAGCCAATGCAGGGATCCAACACGTGACCTTCAAGCTAGCGAGCCAGCATCCCACTTAGCCACCCAAATTATTCAAGGGTTCATTGAATGAGCACATAAATTATTCTGTGTTTCACCCTTATTATTCAAGGGTTCACTCAAATTATTGAAATGAAATGAAATGAAATGGGGTTTAACGTCCTACTGTTCTAAATTATTGAGCAGTTCACCCATATATAATTCGCCCAAATCATTCAAAGGTTCACTGTATGGATCACCTAATTATTCCATGCTTCATCCTAATTATTTGAGGGTTTATTCAATTCATTGAGTAGTTCACCAAATATAAATTGCCCAAATCATTGAGTAGTTCATCCAAATATCACTCGCCCAAATCATTCGAGGGTTCATTGAATGGTTCACCTAAATCATTCAGTTGTTTAATCAAATTGGTTCAATGCAATTATTTAGTTGTTTAATCAAATTGGTTCAATCCAATTATTCAGTGGTTCACCCTGATTATTCATTTGTTTACTCAAAT